CGGCGTCAGCCTCTGTGGTGACAAGTTCCTGTCGCACGCTTCCTGGCACAGCCGTGCAGAATCCATGAAAGAGTGACAGAATAAATGTCCTGTCAACAGCGTAGAGGTCATATTCATCTAACTGTATGTAATTCATCTCTCTCGCTCTCTATTTCTCTCTCTCACACAGACACAGGCACGCAGTAAGACCAGTAAATAGCGAAAGAAAAAAAAAAAAAAAGAGAGAGAGAGAAGGAGGGAAGGTGTAAACAAGATGGTACACAAGACACGCAGCGGCAATAATAAAAAAAAACACGCACGTACAATAAATGAAAAAGATCGCGGCGTGTGTATAAATAACACACAGAATCAGCTTTACACAAAAGCACACAAACACACGGACAAAAACACACAGACACAGAAAGAAATAGTTGGCTTTGTGCCTTCTGTTTTGTTTGTTGTTTCCGCATTCTTCCTTCTTCCTCCTTCTTTGCGTTCCTTTCATCTCTCCTTCAGTTCTTGTTGATGTTGTTTTCTTCCCCTACTTTCTTTTTCTTTTCTTTTGTTTTCTCTTCTTTCCGTTTTTTTCCTTTTTTTCTTTTCTTTTTTTTTTTTTTACTTTTAAAGCTCGCTGTGCAATGCGCATGCGGCGTACGTGATGGTTGAATTTGAAGAGAGCAGCGTTTGAGCACATTTCCCCTGCTCCTCCCTTCCCCTCTTCCTCCCCTCTCCTTTTTTCCTTCCCTTCTCTTCCTCTCTCTCCCTCTCCCTCCTCGCAGACAATAAACATCATCTCGATGCGAAAACAAACCAAAAAATAATAATAATCACAGAGGGGAAAGAAAAGGTGCACCCATATATATATATATATGTGTATATGTATAATAAATGCATGCACACCATTACAGCAACACACACACGGAAATATATATATATATATTGATAAAGAACGAGTAGACCCAAGAGCGAGTGTGTGCTTAGTAGGATATGTATATAAGAGAAAGATGAATACATCAATGTAAATAAGAAGAAAGAAGAAAGAAAAAAAAAAAAAAAAAAAAGAGAAAA